CCGCTCATCGCCAGTTCGGCCGCTGCGATTTCACTCCTCGGCTCTCGCAGCTCGCGGGAAGAAGAAAAGTCCGGGTTCCTCTGGCAAAGCCAAGCGTTGAGGTCTGTCAGAAGCTGCCTTTGCGTTTTCCTCGGGCAGCAACGCGCGCTTCTCTTCAGACGGACGTGTGCGAGCCCAGAGGAACGCTACTTGCTCCAAGTACTGCGTAGTATTGTCTTGATAATGGTAGCTATTGGTAATGATTAGCATTAACAACTTTTTGCCTTTAATAATAATAATAATGGTAACGCCATGATGCGAAGGCACATCGTGCCCCAGTGGAATGCCTCATTCCTTAGAATGGGTAAGTTTGTGGGGGAAAGCGGGGCCGAGTGCCAGCGCCGACAGTGGGCTGGTAAGGGTGGGCACCATGGCTGAAACTGCTAGTCCGGCTGGCTCCATGCCCTGGCTGTCGGAGACCTCCAGGCAGTGACCCAGTGAGCCAGGGAGGGATCTGGGAGATGTATGACTGGAAAGCAGAAATTCAGAAGAAACCTATAGAAATCTGGATTTGAGCTGATGCCTTAACTTGACTCAGTGCACGAAATTTTGCTCCATCCAGATACGGAGAGGATTAACAGATGCATAAGCTCTTTCTCATTTCTGTGGCACATAATTGTCTATGGAGCGATTTGTCAGCTTAATTCCAGTAATGGCAGCAAATAATGGCTAGGAAAGAGCATGGACGACAGCACATAGCGATACCTCCTCACATACATTCTCATCCTGCAAAAACTCGTACCTCGACAACGTTTTGTGCTGGAGTTGTTGCCTTCATTTTTTATAAACCCCAATGCCTTTTTTTCCCCCCCTGCCTTTATTTGTCTAGTCCTTTTTTAAAAATTCTGTAAGTTATTAGCATCCAGAGTCCTAAATTGACATTAGAAGTTAGGAATCATTTTGTTCTAGGTTACTGTGGAGTAATATCAAATCCTGAAGTTTCTCTTTAAAAGCTGCCCAGTTTCTTCCAGTTGATTAATAGCCATCAGCTGCCCTTAGAAATGAGCCTGGGTAGCAAGAGACCTAGTGGAATGTGACTGGGCATGGCTACCTGCACCTGCAGAGCGTTTGTGCTGCACTCCTGAGACCTTGGGCTTGTCCCTCACTATGAATTGTGTTCCGTAGGAATACGAAGTCATCTGCTGCCTTCTCTTCGCCTGGGTTGTTCGCAAACCATTGCGTGGATCTGGAGTGTCTTTTCAGGAGACAAACGACATTCTTTTGAGCGTGTGTCTACATTGCAAATGAATCTGTAGTCCTAAACCAGTAGACTTGTGCTTTGCTGATGAGCTAAAAGTCTCTTTATCCTTTTGCTTTCACCACTGTGGAAAGAACAGGTCCTTTTATGGACTAGAAATACCTAGTCCTCTCTGCTCTCCATCCTGCTGTGGTGTCACTACAGCTGTGACGTATGACTCTTAGAGCTCGCACAGGCGTGCTTATTTGTGCTGAAATTTCAGGGTTTGGTACACGTATGAAGTGTGTGTATATATACTTTACATGTTTTTATGTAATGTCTGTAAATCTATGTAATTTTATGTAATACTTCACATAAAGTATTATTTTATCAATGCTGTTCAATATCAAATTCATCAGAATTTAAACTAGTGGCTTTCTGCGGTGACGTTAACTGAAGCTAAAAAAATGTAAATTAGTTCCCCTTAGCACTCTTTCAGCTTCACCTCCTTACATTTTTCTGCTTTCCAGCTTGCCTGTAAATAACATCAGTAGGAGTTACCTCGGGTATCCAAGGAACTTTGGGCAAATGAACTCCTTTTAATATGGTATCACGATGGTGTCTTCTTCACAAATAATTCCCGAAGAAAATTAAACGTTTGTGCTGCAGTGTGCAGAAATAACCAGGATAGGTTAGTTCTAGATTAACTCCTGCACCCAATAAAAAACGGAGAGCTAAATATTTTTGCAACTCTCCTTTATCTCTTCTCAGACAGTATTTCCACTGTGTCCATGGGTCCATTTGTATTAGTATTCAGTTCTTCTAGTAAGAAGTGTTTGCAGTGTCCTTCTTTGAAAATAATTCTTTATGGTAAATCTATAACCATTTCTGCATTAGTGTTAATGTGGCTGTGTGCAGTCTTACTAAGAAGGAGAACAATTTGCGGGCAGAAGACAAGGGTAAAGTCTTTTGGGTTAGATGTATATCACATTAAATTGCGTAGTGGGCCTCTGAATGGTTGTGGTTATGAAGAGGAAACATTACTGTTTCTGTTTTCTCTTTCTTCGTCAATCCATTTTACTAAGAAGTAAATGATATGAGAGAGAACAAGAAAGAAGCATTTCATCATTTACTGTAACGTTAAGGGTTGTTAGCAGTGCTTGCAACCTGAAAGAAAATTTGATTGTATGTATATGTGCATGAAATAATTCTAATAGATGACAACAATATGCTATGGAAATCATACAAAGGAAATAGATAATGTTACAGCTGTTCTTCTGTAAGAAAGATCATAACACAAGGACTGAAACTCAGATATCTTGGACAAGATGAAGAGATGGTGCAGCAATCTGATGATTACTGAATTGTTGATAATGTCTAAATATTACCAGTGCTTTCTCTTCAAATTCTAGGAGCTGTGGTGTCTAGCATAGAATGAAATTAGAAAGTAAAAAATGTGTTTCTTGCCTGTAAGCCTACACAAATTCCTTTACTTTTTTGCTAAAGAATTTCTTTAGCCTTGCAGAATGATTATAGCTTTGAAAAGGTAATGCATTTTATGCATTGAGTTCGTGGCTTTCTAATGCTTAGGGAATGGTCTGCAAATATTTTGAAAATAAAATGGAGGAGGCTTGTGTATTTTACATGGCAGTAAGACAGTTTGAAAGCTGTTTTGCATGCGTGAGTATTACTAATGTTAGTAGGGGCTCCATTTTCAACATCCAGTCTGAATTGACGCTCTGACTTTAACAGGAAGTTATGAAGTATCTTCAACATCTAACCCACTTCAACTGGTTTAACTTGATGGTGATTAATGTAGCTTTTTCTTTTTTTTTTTTTTTTTTAAATATATTTGCAGTTTTACCAAGATCTCTCATATTCACAGGTATACATGCAGGATTCCGTTGTGGCCACCTTGGTTCTATAGCAGCAGTGTACTAAGTAAGTGTATGAGTGGGTATGTACCAGTGTGCACAACACACTTATACCTGAGAAGTTAAATAACTTGAATTTTAGCAAGCTTGGCAAAATCAACACACGTGGCAATCTTCAGTATGCTACACTAACTGTGCTGATTTGTTTGAAGCACATTTGCTCTGTGTCCATGCTACCGCTGGCTTGTTTTATTGTAAGACTTCTTAGAAACCTATGTTACTACTTCTCAGTAGATCGGTTCTTGGAAGCCTTTTGAGGCATCCTGTGCCATTAGAGACAGTGGTATGAATTTGCATCCGTATTCTCACCAGGGTGGCTCAAGTGGCAGTGTTTATAGATCGAAACAAGTCTCTTCAGCTGAATTTCTTGTGGAGCCATGCCCTTATGTGCCTTTTGTATTTTCACAACTGAAGTCTGGAGGATGCCACAGACACTGTATTAGACTAGGTCCTGCTTTCAGCACAGCCCATGTTGGACAGTGGAGCCTATACAGGTATCCTACCATCTTCAGCAGTTGGCTGGTAGGAATGGCTGTGATTGTATCATCTGTCCAAAGTGTCTGAGGCAGAGATTTGCAAGAGTATGACCAATACAGACTGAAGAGAGAAAAGTGTTGAGAGCTCACATGCAGGAGAGCCATCACGGCACAGGACATGCTTGTGTAGGTCTCTGAGGCTTCTCAAACGGTTCTTGGACTGTTCCTTGTTTCTGGACTCTGAGAGATGCAGAGGTGGCCCATGGCCTTTTGCCCCTCTTTCACCTCCTTCAGGTTGGGCCAAGCTAACTGACCAGTTCAGACTGAAGGCGATTGTTCCCACAATGACACTCTTGTTACTGAGAGGACAATAGTTCTGGCACAGTTAAGCTCAGCCTCAGAATACAGGGTGTTTTAAGCTAAAACCAGCGCTGATTCTTTTAGCTCAATATGAACCAGGAAAGAGCAGTTTCACCAGACAGAAAAGAAGAAAATCAAAATGATCTTGTCAAGGCTGAAGAAAAATTTACAAACAATTGCAAGGTAAAAAAGGATAAACTCAATAAATGTTGACTTAACAACATTATTTTAACTTGTTAAAAATACTAAGGCAATAGTTAAAGCTTTTCTGCTGAGTATCTATTTAATTTCCAAAGTATGTCTTGACAAAAGCAATGACATACTTGATAAGTTAATAGCCAACAAGACAGTCTGTAAGTTTGAGTAATTTTGAAGTGTGCTGAAACCTCTCTGGGTTATTTGTGTACAAACATACAGTTGAATAATAGTATTCAAGAGAATATTAATACGTCTAACACTGAAAGCTAGAAAATGCTGGCAGTTAGGTTGCTGGAGCCAAGATCAATTTCTGAATGTGTTGGATATCAGACAAATTTACTGGGGAGCTAAATTCAGAAGAAGTTAGAATATGAAAAGAAAGCAAAATCTGTTAGTGGAAGAAAACAATTCCTAATCAAAACCATTGATACAGGAAAAGGAAATTCATAAAAGCAAATGATGCTTGGAGTGATTTGAGAGCTACTCAATCTTCTAACTTGTTCTTGAACCTGAAACATCTTTCTGTCCCTGGAGGTGATTGAAGTAAAACATCTAATTCTTTGCAGCAGCATGTCAGTGATGTATGATTTTGCCTGTATGGTCAATATGCTGCTCACTCAGAAGAGAGGGATTCTGGTGATAAAGCAGAGATGCTGAACCTGTAAGCCTGTCTCTGGGTCCTGTGTAGACTGCACTTTCCACTTTCCCCTACTATCGCTCTGCCTATAGCTCTTCCAAAGGAAAATAATGGCCAGACGTAACAAGCTTCGCGAAAGTTGCGGGATGCTAACCTACAAAGCTTAGATTCAAACAGTTCTGTGTTCTGCTTGACTTTTCATCTGGCTGATAACAGAAAACATGAAAAATAATGCTGTAATAGCTATCGGTGATGTCATGACATATTATACAAAAAGTCTTATTTTGAGGCATGCAGGAGGCATTTTATGTTTGCAAAGAAAATAATAATTGAGGACACACACACGCCCCCCAGAATGTGCAGGTGTCTTCAGTCTGCAACTGTGTGATAAACTACTGGCTGAGCAATAAGAAATGGGACATGTTTTTAGCAGCAAAGTTATTTTCAGGCCAAGGTCAGAGCTATGTGTTGTAGCTGCTAATTATTTTTGTTGTTCTGCTAGAAGCTGCAGTAAAAGGACCT